ATTGGATTTCCAGAGTGCCACCTGGGACTCGGCCGTGGCTCTCTGCATCCGCTTCCATCAGACACTGGATGAGAGTTCTATCTTGACAGCCAGGGTGTTCGGTCATCTGATCACCAGAGCAGGTTGACTCGGGCACTCTCTCTCGACCATTGCCAGTAGTCTACAGTGGAGGTATCTTTGTGGATTTCTGGGGACCTCTCTAGCACTCTGCTTCTTCCCCAAAGAATGCTCAACTATGTTCATAGCAGCATTATTTGTAATAGCAAGAACCTGGAAACAACCTAGATGCCCTTCAACTGAAGAATGGATAAATAAAATGTGGTACATATACACAATGGAGTACTACTCAGCAGAGAAAAACAATGACATCATGAGGTTTGCAGGCAAATGGATGAAACTAGAAAAAAAATCATCCTGAGTGAGGTAACCCAGACTCAGAAAGACAAACATGGTATGTACTCACTCTAAGTGGATACTAGATATAAAGCAAAGGATAACCAGACTGCAACTCACAATTCCAGAGAGGCTACCTAGTAAAGAGGACCCTAAGAAAGACACAGGGATTGCCCAACGACAGAGAAATGGATGAGCTCTACATGAGCAGACAGGGGGGGTGGGGGGGGTGGGGGTAATGGAGGACAAGGGTCCCAGCTGGATTAGGAGCAGAGTGGGAGAATGGGGAGGGAGATACCATGATAAATAGGAGAGGGTTTTAGGAACTCAATCCCTGCCTGCTGCATTCATTGCAGGGAGGATTTTTAAAGCTTGAAAGACAGAACTTAGAGAGGTTTTGCTGTCTTAAGAGGTTTGTTGTTTTCCCTTAGAGCTAATCACAGGTGGTTCTAAATTTTGTCCTTCTAAGAGAAAGTTAAAAGCTTTAGTTTTTAAATTTTTTTAAGAGAGCTTTTTGTTTGAGAAACATTAAGGCTTTTTAGAGAGATTTTTCCAAGAACTTTTAGTTTAAGAGAAAGGTTTTTTTCCCAAGAGAGAAAGACCAACTTTTCCCAAAATTTCTGAACTTGAAATTTTTTGGCTTCTTACACCCGCATTTTTGCATCAGGAAGAAATCACTTTCTCCTGCTGCTTGGACTTAGTATTTTAGCTGTCCCCAAGCCAAAAGCTTCCATAGGTGTAACACAAATTGTTAGAAGGTCTTATTAATAAAAACAAACCCAGTCCAGTTATTGGGGTGAATGCTAGAAGATCTGAGAAACAGAACCAGCCACAGCTAACCTCACCTCACCAATTCCTCAGCTGATCCTGTTTCCTCAAACTGGAAGCCTCTGTGTCCTCATTCAGAATGGATCTCAGCTGAACTGCTGCTCAAAAGCCTAAAAACTTAACCAGGTTCTAGTTCCTCGTCCTCACGTCTTATATACCTTTCTGCTTCCTGCCATCACTTCCTGGATTAAAGGTGTGTGTCACCATGCCTGGATGTTTCCAGTGTGGCCTTGAATTCACAGAGATCTGGATGGATCTCTGCCTCCAGAAGGCTAGGATTAAAGATGTGTATTACCACTGCCTAACCTCTCTTTAATATAGTGGCTATTCTGTTCTCTGACCCCCAAATAAGTTTATTGGGGTACACAATATATCAACCACATTCCTTTGTCTAAAATTTAAAAAAGCTTATAACTAATACAAGAAAAACTATATCCAATAAGTATATACAATATATAGTCAAGAATTACATTAACAATGTCCAGTCCATTAATATTTGACAAATTCAGACAAAAAATTTTCATTACTTATCCTATTTAAAACAAGTAGTTCCTTTTAAAAAGTAGATTCAATAATCTCCCTTTTTATATTATATCCATTTTTTTTGAGTAGATCCAAAAATCTGCCTTTTATCTTATTTCTGTATTTTCCCCCTTTTCAGAGTAGATTCAATGATCTACCCTTTTCTATATCTTTTTTCTTTTAAACAAACCCTGTATGTAATCTCCTTTGTTTAGTTTTTTTTAACCATTAACAATTAACTTGTAACCAACCATTGGTAAACAATAACAATTATCCATGAGCTATTGAACGACCAAAAAACACCCACTCCACCTCTTGGGAATGTGGACATCGTTTTCTTAAAATTACTTACTGCTTTCTGGGGGTGAAGACATCTTTAGGGGATCCTAAAAAGAAAATTTTTGGGTTAATGGTCAAGTCCTGGGAGAGGTAGCTGTATCATTTGTTGTTCAGTCTCTGCATAATGGGAAAATGTAGGGCTTGTCTCAAGTCCTTGCTCGAGTTGTCTGTGAATCTGGATCATCTCAACTAGCCAGCTTGAAATTGTCCTGAGCAGTTTGTAGTCCAAAGCCGATCTTTCCGTGGTGTTAATCAGCTTAATGGCTTTACCATAGTCCATGTGCAATCCTGTCATCCTTTTGAAGATTTCAAAGTTGCTGTTAGGTGTGGTCATGGTTCCCTGTAGAATTTTTTTGTGTGTGTGCCTCTGTGGTTTGGAGCAATCACAGTCTGATAAATGTCTGTCTCTCGGAAACACGAACGTTCTTCCCTAGAAGAGAATATCTTCACAGCAATTTCTCCCCACCATTTGTCTCCCAAACTTTTCCAAACTGACCTTTGCCAATGCTTTCTTGTAACACGATGGTCCTGGCAATTTTACTCTGAACAAGCAGCAGTAAACACTTTGTCCCAGGTAGCAGCATCACCACAGTCACCAACATGAGAAGGAGCCAGCAGCAGCTGCTGCCTCCATGGTCCCACCGCCACTGTTTGTGGCTTAGCCTGGGACAAAGCTTCTCCTTAGCAAGCCTCCTAGGCTGGCCTCAAACTCGGGATCCTCTTGCCTCTGCCTCCTTTAGTAAATCCAACCAGTGTGCCACCACAGGCGGCAACGTGTAGTTCAGGTCTGAGCTGGGGCCCACAAGGCTCCAGGCAAGTAGCCTTTTCTCGAATTCGTACCATGAACATTGGGCGTCAGATGTACTTCCAGTTCATTTTTCCTTTTCTCTCGAGGATAAAATAAAACTCCCGGCCGTGTGTGTGGTGTGTGTGTATATATATATATATATATATATATATATATATGTTCCATTACAACACTGGACATGTCCGTCTTTCCACTGGCAGAACCTAATGCAACACTTTCACCAAAAACTCTGTATAAAACTATTATTTTCTTTTGTCTTTAGTCCCTGTTCATGGAGCCATTCTGCAGGGTATTTACCCACCAACCCCACAGTTCCCCAGAGTGCTCTTGAGTGAGAGCAGCAGGAAATATTAGATAGAAAATACAGGATAACCTCAAGAGGGCCTGGAACCAATTCCAACAAGCCCTGACTGTCTCTGCCCTAAGGTATTTATAGAAACACCAAGGGTGGAGCAAAAGACCTCCCCCCAGCACAGCCAAGTGCAGACCATTTCAGACACCTGCACTCAGGCCCATGGTCCAATCATCCTCTCTATGCAAACCTGCTGGGTAAAGCCACTAGGAACCTGAAGATGGGCTCCCACAACTGAGTAATGCTGAGAGCTACGAGAAATAGTCTTCCCCAAGTTAATTATCTAATACCAAGTGGCCTGCCCAGAAATATACATACTGGTAATAATGTATGCACACTCATGAGTAGGTTATTGAAACAGGGCTCCAGACCTTAGCACAAGTGACTCCATGATGGAAGTACCATTTAGGCTGTAAAACTCAGCATGAAGACAGTACCACTTGTCAAAACAAAAGACCTAATCCATCAAAGTACATAGTTCTGGGAAAGTCTCTAAATGAACTAACCTTGTCTTTTGGCTTCTGTAGTTCCATTTCTGGCTAACTGTTCTTGTTAACTGAATTTGTTTGTTCTTAAAAGCTCACCCTGAGAAAGTCTTGGTGCTAAACTGAGATCCCGAACACCCAGTGTATTTGCTGGTTGTCTAATAAAGACTTTCTATTGGCTGAAATGCATGTACAAGCAGTCTTCTCTGTTGAATACTCAACAACAGTTAAACAGTTATATTTACATATTTAGGAATATATATATATATACACACACACACGTAACAACAATTAAAAGAGGCTATGAATTTAAGAGAGTAAGGAGGAGGGAAGGGTTAGAGGGGGAAAGGAGGAAATGATGTAATCATATTTCAATTTCAAAAGAGATTTTTTTTTTTTTTGGTTTTTCGAGACAGGGTTTCTCTGTGTAGCTTTGCGCCTCTCCTGGAACTCACTTGGTAGCCCAGGCTGGCCTCGAACTCACAGAGATCCGCCTGGCTCTGCCTCCCGAGTGCTGGGATTAAAGGCGTGCGCCACTACCGCCCGGCCTCAAAAGAGATTTTAAAAACCTAATCAAAATTAGCGATAAACCCTCTTTAGTTTGTTTGGGATTTCAAAGAAAAAAAAAGGAACGAGGTGTGTGTGTGTGTGTGTGTGTGTGTGTGTGTGTGTGTGTGTGTGTGTAAAACCCTAATCGCGATAAATCCTCTTTTTTTTTGTTTTGTTTTTCGAGACAGAGTTTCTCTGTGTAGCTTTGTGCCTTTTCTGGAACTCTCTCTAGCCCAGGCTAACTCACAGAGATCCGCCTGGCTCTGCCTCCCGAGTGCTGGGATTAAAGGCGTGTGCCACCACCGCCCGGCGATAAACCCTCTTTAGTTAAGGATTTAAAAAAAAAAAGAGCAGTGTGTGTGTTGGGGTGGGTGGGAGGTAGGAGTGTGTGGCTGTGGCTGTGGGTGTATTTGTGTTATAATACACACATAGATTCATAAGTTCACACCATACAGGCAAATATAATCGCACAGGAAACACATTGAGAATTGGCAGTGTTGTTCATACAGCTACTCAATGAAATATGTACTGCATTCATCGTAACTTTCCTTCAGGTTTTAGAGTTTCAGACTCAGCAAAGGGTTAGTGTTCCGTGTAGTTTAGATTTCAGAAACCTCACTAGGAACCGTATATGTCCATGTTCCAGTTTCCTGACCGGCTTCTATATACTAATACACACATCCCTTCCTGTTGGCTGCAAGGAACTTGGGTCCAGGGGAAGGGGTTTACCGTCGTACCCGGAACTGCTTCCAAGATTTTTTTCTGGTTTGATAAACGCTGCAGGCTCCCGGACCCTAGGCATCCTAGACCTTTGGGGGCCGCGAGAGCGCCCCCTTGTTCCGCCCCTTGGCGGGTTCAGCTTCCACCACCATGGCTCCTGTTTCAGGCTCGCGTAGCCCTGAACGGGAGGCCTCTGGGGGAAAACGTCGCAGTTCGTCGAGGAGCCCTAAGCCCAGCAAATCTTCCCGCTCCCCGCGGGGTCGCCGCTCCCGCTCGCGCTCTTGTTCTCGTCTCTGTGACCGGAATGGGCTCAGCCATTCGCTCAGTGGCTTCAGCCAAAGCTCTCGAAATCAATCTTACCGCTCCCGCTCTCGATCGCGCTCTCGAGAGCGGCCCTCTGCGCAGCGGAGTGCCCCTTTTGCTTCTGCATCCTCGTCTGCCTATTATGGCGGCTACTCGCGCCCCTACGGGGGCGACAAGCCATGGCCAAGCCTGCTGGACAAGGAGAGAGAGGAGAGTCTGCGGCAGAAGTGAGTGAGATCGCCGCACCCTCTTGGACGAGTCCGCTTGTCTTTGAGTCCGGCTTGTCGTTCATTGTTTCTGTTTGTATTTCGCTTCCCACCCGCCTCGCACTTTTTTCATCCTTTTCTTCAATCAACCCCACGACCTTTTTATTTATCCTTTTCTAACTTATATTTTCATTCATCCCCAGACTCCTTCATAAAGTATCCCGTTTTTCCACCACCCACTTCCCCCCTCCTGTCTTTGCAGGCAGATATCGCTAAGAGCCTCAGCTCTATTGTATTTCCTTGGTTGCGTCATTATGCGTGAGCTTGTCTATTCTACACTGAACCGAACTTGTGGAAGTGGAGGTCCTATTTCATTGATCACAGAATTAGTAGTGCCTGCCTCTTGGGAGGCCTGCAACGGTTGCTTGTTGCATGAAGGAACAGACAAGTTTGAGATAACAGGATTTGTCAGTGGAAAAGTTTTGCGGGGAATTGGGAAGGATTGTAATTAAGGATCTGTATTGGATAGGAGGAAACCTTCCTCTATGCAAGATGATTAGATGAATGTAAAAAAAAAATGCTCTGCCAAGCTGTAGATGGGGCTACGTTAAGGAAGAGTTTTGTGAAGTGGTCCCAGCCATCTTGATCATGAAAAACAAACGCAGGAATGAGATCAGATCTCCTCTAATGGAGTTCTTATTTTAAAAGACCCACAGACCTGTAGTTGCAACAGCTGTGAGGCCCTGGAGGGAAGTCAGATCAGTGTCGTCTTCATTTACATAGCAAGTTTAAGGCCATCCTGGTATACATGAGACCATGTCTCAAAAAATAGTTAAATTAAAAAAAGCTGAGCATGATGGCTCACTCCTTTGATTCTAGCATTCAGAAAGCCGAGGCAGAATTGTCACAATTAGTTGGAGGCCAGCCTGAACTACCGAATAAATTTAAGGTCAGCCTGAGGGAAAGTGAGACTTTGAGAGAGAGGCTTATATTACTGCATTAGTTATCTAATATTTATGAAATTTATTATGTTTGTTAAACGTTATGTCTTAGGCATTGTACTAGGCTTTGTACCATGTGTTTAAAAGGGATAAAACTTTAAGCATTACAGGCATTGAGGGGCAAGTTAACTTTCCAACTGTTGAACTGTTTTCATGATTTTTTTTCTTCCAGCAGGGGAGGAAATAAAGTATGATTATAAAAAGGGCAGGCTTCACAATCACTCTGCTTGAGTTTGAAGGCTTTGTTTGTCGTGAAGCAGGGTAGTTTGGGGCAAGTTTGTTGACCTCTCTGATCTTCACTTCTTCACCATTAAAAAAGGAGAAGCCAGAGTTGTAACTCAGTGGAAGAGTGCTTGCCTAGCAAACCTGAGGCCCTGGTTGGATCAGTACTCCAGAAAGGCTTGAGGGAAATTAGTAACAAGGCTTTTAAGGTTGTAATAACTTCCATAAGTGCATGGAAACAGAAACAGTAAGACAGTTCTGAATTGTTAGAGACTTACCTATCCAATTTAAATTGTTCAGCATGGTATAGTACCCACAGAGTATGACAGTCGAAAAGCAAATGGTGAGCCATGAGTTTTGTGAGGTCATGTCTCTAATCCCAACATTTGAGAAAGGGTCAGAACCATCAGGAGTTGAAGGCTAGTTAGACCCTGCTACATGCGATCCAGTCTCAAAAAGAGGTGGAGAGGATTTACTGGAATGTTATACTTGCTATGATGAAATTTGCATTTGTACTTTTAGACGATACGAAGTTTATTGTTTCTATTAAACATTATGTCTTGGGCACAGTGCTAGGCTTTGTACTGAATGTTTAAAAATGAGAAATTTTAAAGCCTTACAGGAGCAACAGGTATGAGACTGTTTGTGTTCTTCATGATTGGGCAGGCATTTTCCCCCCAGCAGTTATAAACAGATGTATCCCTTTTTAAATTATCTTTTTAATCAAATAAAACACCCTCTAAGTCTGGCTCTGTGTAGTTACAAATACCTTTCCCCATGATTAAAGAAGTTAAAATAAAAGAAAATCAAGCCCATTATATTTCTTTTGTAATTGTTATGCTTTAAAAAAAAAACCTGTGAGTTTTAAGCCACTACACTTTAAGGAATAAAGAATTCAGGCTTCCCCCCTTCAAATAATTATTTTTATTTTATTTTTTTTTGAGGGGCAGTTGAGACAAGGTCTGTCTATAGCTGTGCTAGAACTTACTATGTAGACTAAGCTGGCCTCAAATAGAGAGAGAGAGAGACCTGCCTGTCTTTGCCTCCTAAGTGCTGGGACTGAGGCGATCAACCATACCTGGTGTTATTTTTATTATATTTTTAATTATGTGTATGCATGTATGTCTGTGTATGGATATGTACATGTGAGCATAGATGCCTTGGGAACCCAGAAGCATCAGATCTCCTGGAGCTGGAATTAAGGCAGCTGAGAGCCAACCGTCTTGGATGCTGGGAATCAAACTCCAGTCCTCTGCAGGAATAGTATGTGCTCTTAACCACTGGGCCATTTCTCCAGCCCAGAATTTGTATTATAAGTTTATGAGTAGTAGTAAATATTAAAGCAGAATTAGTCACATACGTAAAATGAAAAAAAAAGTGTTCTCCCCAAAGTAGAGAATGTACTCCTTCTCCAAAAAGGATCTAAAAGAAAAACTGGTAATAAACCTTAATAAGGACAGTTTTTGTCAAAGAAAATTTTTCTTCCTTTTCAGAATCCCCTTTATTTTCATTTCATGTTTATCTTCTTCACCAATTCCTAGGTTCCTGAAAACTGAAAGTTTGACCAAATCAAAAGATTTCCCTGCCTTTATAAATAAACATAAACAAATGAATTTATTTTTAAACGTAATACTTCCTTAGCCTGGCAGTGGTGGCGCACACCTTTAGTCCCAGTATTCGGGAGGCAGAGGCAGGCGTTCAAGGCCAGCCTGGTCTACAGAGTGAGATCCAGGGCAGGCTCCAAAGCTACACAGAGAAACCCTGTCTCGAAAAACCGAAAACTAAAACCCAAACCACTCCCCCCACAAAACCTTTCTGTTACACTTTACAGTTAAATGGGTAGTTATGCCACACATTCAGCAAAAAGGATGCCCTTGACAGTCTGTCTAACTGCCATTTCTGCCACTGCTACTGAGGCACTCCATAGTTTATGCAAGTTTATGATGCTATCAGAACATCAAATCCTACCTAATGAGTTTATATTTAAACCAAGTTTTTATTAATTTTTCAAACATATAGATAAATCCAGGTGTTCTTGTAGCCCCAGCTTCTTGGAAGGCTAGATCACTTGAGCCCAGGAGTTCAAGGCCAGCCTAGGCAACATGGTAAGATCCTGTCTCAAAGATATATGGGGAAAATAATACTAGAAGACTTGATTCCTGTTGAGTTTTATTATATGCTTAGGAAACAGTTCATCCATTGAATTATAATTTAAATATTTATCTCTTTCAGGAGATTAAGTGAAAGAGAGAGAATTGGAGAATTGGGAGCTCCTGAAGTTTGGGGACTTTCTCCAAAGAATCCTGAACCAGAGTAAGTGGGTTAAACATATTATTTTACAATGTTAATAGCATTTGTTTAAATCCTGGTCTGCAGTCAAAAAATTTTTAATTATATTTTCTCACATTTTATTTATTTGTACATGTATGTATGTGCACAGGTGGAGGTCAGAGGACAACTTGCAGGAGTCGGTTCTCTCCTTCCACCATGTGGGTCCCAGGGATTGAACTCAGGTCATCAGGCTTAGCAGCAAGCACCTTTACCTACTGATCCATCTCGCCAGCCCTACTGTCAAAATTTTTAAGTGAAGAGCTTCAAGTACTTATCAGATTTTTTTGATTTCTTATGATTTATGCTATTTTACCCTTTATATTAAAAAACATGGAACATGGGTAATGATTACAGATACTGCTAGTAGATTTTAGCACATTCATTGTTTGTGGGGGTTCGTTTTGTTTTGTATTGTAATACAGGCTATTTGGAACCCACTGTGTAACAACCAAGGCAGGACTTAAACTCACAGCAATCCTCCTGCCTTAGCCCCCTGAATGCTGGAATTACTTGCATAGATCACCATGCCCAGCTTAATTGCTGTCTTTAAATTATAACTCTTGAAGCACTAATTTCTTACTCAGAAAGATTCATTATATTTTATATTGTGTTTATATTATTTTTCATTTTTTTTTCAACTAACCCACTATCAGACTGCTAGGTGTTAGTATAAGTGATAAAATAGAGGTAATTTACTAAGAAAGAAGGCTCTTCTGAGGGTGGAAATGGGCTAGTGAGCTGGGAAAAGTAGACACTCAAAATCCTAAAAAAGTAGTGTGTGTGAGTGATTGTGTGCTGGGGGCCAGAATTTGAAGTCAAATTTTCTGTGATCTCTTGTCTACCTTTTAAAATTTACATTTCTCTCTCTCTCTCACTCACTCACTCACTCACTCACTCACTCACTCACTCACTCTGTCTTGTCTCTGTGTCTCCAAATGCTGGAATTACAGGTGAGTGCCAGCCCACCCATCATTTTTCTGTGGCTGCTGGGGATCTGAACTCAGGTCCTTGTGCTTGTGTGACAATCATTTGATCAACTGAGCCACCTCTCTGGCCCCTAAATTTAAAAAAAGTTCATAAGACATAACACTGTTTATTGCCCACAATGCATCCCCTTGTTCCCCTAAACAGTTTCATTTCTTCTTTCATTTTATACATACACACATGATTTTATGTGACTACATGAAATCCGAGAACCACAAAGTGTATAAAACATGAAGTTTGTATTCCTGAGACTGGCTTAATTTGCTCAATAGGATTATTTCCTATTGCATCCATTTTCCTGTACATGATGTAACCCAGTCTTCTTTTTGGCTGAAAATGTTTCTACTGTGCACATACACTACATCTTTAAGTCTATTCCTCTGTTGTTGATACCTAGTTTGACCCCATAACTGAGCTACTGTGAATAGTCTGCAGTTTATATTGCTGTGTGAGTGTCTCTGTGATGTGATGACTTGTAATCCTTCAGGCAGATGCCCAGGAGTGGTATGGCTAGATTCTGTGGAGGATCTAGTTTTGTGTTTTGAGAAACCTCCATATGATTTCCACAGAAGCTGAATTAGTTTACATTCCAACTGGCTGTATATAAGGGCTTCCTGGTCTCTACATCCTCAACAGCATTTGTACTTAGTTGCTTTCTTTTTTTTTGGTTTTTCGAGACAGGGTTTCTCTGTAGCTTTGGAGCCTGTCCTGGACTAGCTCTGTAGACCAGGCTGGCCTTGAACTCACAGAGATCCGCCTGGCTCTGCCTCCCGAGTGCTGGGATTACAGGCATGCACCACCGCTGCCTGGCATTAGTTGCTTTCTTAATGGCTGTCATACTGTCTGGGGTAGGATGGACTCTCAGTGTCTTTTTCATTTGCATTTCCCTGATGGATAGTGAAGTTGAACATTTTTTGTGTGTGTGTTTATTGACTATTTGTATTTTGTCTTTTGAGGAATGTCTGTTCATTTCATTAGCCCATGTATTTGTTTGTTTGTTTGTTTGTTTGAGACAGGGTTTCTCTGGGTAACCCTAGCTGTCCTGGAACTCACTCTGTAGACCAGTTTGGCCTCAAACTCACAGAGATCCGCCTGCCTCTGCCTTCCAGTGGTGGGATCCACCACCACCTAGCTTAGCCCATTTATTGTAGTGGTTTCTTTAGTTTTTTGTTTCCGTGTATATTCTTGGTATCCTCATCTGCCAGATGTAAGATTTTCTCCCATTCTTTAGGTGCTCTCTTCACTCAGTTGTTTTTCTTTGCTGTACAAGGTGTTTTAATCTCACAAGGTCCCATTTGTTGATCTGGGGATTTATTTAGTAAACAACTGGCATCCTATTTAGAAAGTTCTTGCTTATGCCTATCTTTTTTGAAAAAATATTTATTTTATTTTATAAGTGTTTTGCCTACATTGTGTGTAAGTGTACTGTATTCATGCCCTGGGCTTGCAGGGGTCAGAAGAGGGCATTAGATCCTGTGAAACTGGAGTTACAGATGGTTGTGGACTGCCATGTAGGTGGTGGAAATTGAGCCTGGGTTCTCTGCGAAGAGTAGCCAATGTACTAAACCACTGAGCCACCTCTTCATCCCATATGTTTATATCTTGATAGTTTTTCCCTCTTAAAATTTCAGAGTTTCAAGTGTACAGTAAGGTCACCAAGAATTTTTTAAATTAATATACTGCCATTTAAAAAGTGTTTCCTATATCTAATACTCTGAAGGTCGACTACTTTTTTATTCCACATTTATTTTCGTTTTAAATGTTAATGTTTTATGGGGGTGTCCACAGCACACAGGTGGGAATTGCTCCCTCCTTCCACATAATGGATTCAAAGGATCAAACTCAGGTCATCAGGCTTGACAGCAAGCACCTTTAACTTGCTGGCTCCATATTTTTCTTTTGTTTGTTTGTTTATGTTTTTGGTTTTGTGTAGCCCTGGCTGTCTTGGAACTCTCTTTGTAGACCAGGCTGTGCTTGAATTCAGATGCACCTGTGGGGATTAAGGGCATGAGCTACCCTGCCCAGCTCCACTCTTGGATTTTTTTGTTTGTTTGTTTGAGACAGTGTACTTAACAAGAAGCTTAGAATTTGTGTCAGGGTGATAAAGCAGTATTTCTGAAACTTGTTCCTATAGATACTTGAACTCATTTGTTGTTCGTTTTTGCTCTTTTGGGGGGCCCACCACCCAGCTCCCAAATAAATCACACATGGAGGCATATTCTTAATTATGAATGCTCGGCATTAGCTTGGCTTAGTTTCTAGCCAGCTTTCCTTAACTTAAATTTTCCCATCTACCTTTTGCCTCTGGGCTTTTCCCATTCTCTTACTTCTGTATTTTACTCTTACTGTGGCTTGCTGTGAGTGTAGCTGGGTGCCTGGCCCCTGAGGTCCTCCTCCTTCTCTGGCTGCTGCTTTTTCAATCCCTCTTCCTAGATTTCTCCTTCTATATATTCTCTCTGCCTGCCAGCCCCACCTATCCTTTCTCCTGCCTTGCTATTGGCCATTCAGATCTGTATTAAACCATCAGGTGTTTTAGACAGGCACAGTAACACAGCTTCACAGAGTTAAACAAATGCAACATCAACAAAAGTAACATACCTTAAAATAATATTCCCCACCACTCATTGAATGAGAATTAAAAGAAACCCTAAAAATATTTTGATAAATAATACATAAGTTATTTCATGTGTGATGTGGAGGCCCACAAATGTTCCCTAGTGAGATCTGGGCTTGCTTTACCCAGCAGTTAGAGGATTGCTTGACCATGTGTGTAGTTACCAGGTGATTGGAAGGGTCTGCACTTGGCTGTGCTAGGGGGAGGTTGTTTTGCTCCACCCCTTGGCATTCCTATAAAAGTCCCCTTAGAAGAGACAGAAGGGGGCTGGTGGATCTTGGTCCAGGCCCTCCCAAGGCTATCCCATATTTTTGTTTCTCTCCCCTCTATCTTTCTACCTAATATCTCTTATCCCTCTTTTTTCAAGAGTACCCTGGGAAAAAAGTGGGGGTGGGTTCCCCCACAGTATGATCTTTAAAACTTTAAAGGAAAGGATGATAGAATATGAGAACTTTCCTTGGGTACCATCAAAGTATTTTAATTTTTTAGAACCTTTCCTAAAGTATTAAAAAAAATTTATTTTAGATTTATTTACTAGTTTTGACAAGGTCTCACTATGTGGCCCTGGCTGGCCTACTCATTGTGTAGATCAGGCTGGATTTAAACTCACAGAAATCCACCTGCATCTGCCTCCTAAGTTTTGGGATTAAAGGTGTGTATCACCATGTCTATTTTTAATTATGTATATTGTGTGGGTTTCTATGGGTATGCACAGCTAGGTGTTAGTGTCCCCAGAGGCCAGGGACATCAGATTTCCTTGGAGCTAGAGTTATAAGTGATTGTGAGCCACCCAGCATGGGTGATGGGAATCAAACTCAGATCCTATGCAAGAGCACTGCACACTCTATTTGCTGAGCAGATAACAGCTGGTAGAGTGCTTATCTAGAATTCATAAGACCCTGGGTTTGATCTCTAGCACCAAATAAACCAGGCATGGTGGTACATGATTTATAATCTTAGGATTGAAGAGGTAAAGGCAGGGGCGTCAAAAGTGAAAGGCTGTCCTTAGCTACATAGAGAGTTCAACCCCAGCATGGGCTAGAGACCCTGTCTCAAAAGAAAATTATCCAGGCCAGTGAGATTTTTCAGCAGGTAAAGGTGCTTGGTGCCAACTCTGACAACTTCAGGCTGATCCATGGGACTCACAGTGGGTGGAAGGAGATAACCAAATCCTGAAAATTGTTCTTTGACCTCCACAGTAGTGTACATGCACGTGCACGCACGCATGCACACATACACACATACATGCTCTAAATAAACTAAATGAAAAAAATGTATTTAAACCCCCAAACAAAAACTTACTTTCAGAATTTATTTTGCAGATTCTGTAGTCTGTTAGGTTCTGGGGAGATGGGAGTTGTTCTAGTGTATATCCTTTACCTAATTAGAATAAAATTCTGGAGCTAGGATATCTCTCAGTGATAAAGCAAAATTGCCTAACATTTTTGAGGCCTAGGTTTGATCCCCATAGCCAAAAAATAATAATAAAATCATGAACTCTTCTGTCAGTCTCCATGTTTGCCTTTTCTTGATCTTTCCTTATGTTTTCTATTTCTCAACTTTTGTGAGTTTCTTCTGAAAATATAAATCTTGCACATTGCTTTTTTAACAGTACTGTGTAAACTCTAAGGCATTATGTAAATATAAGTCATTTTTTTTATTATGACGACAGTAGACTCCTGAATATACTCTTGTCTTTGGGGGCTAGAGAGAGGGTTCAGTGGTTAAAGGCACTGGCTATTCATCTGGGGAACCTGAGTTTGATCCACAGCACCCACATAGCAAATTCCAGAGGATCCGATACGTTCTCTGGCCTCTGTGGGCACCAGGCACAGTCATATGTGTAGGCTAAATGCCTATATACATAAGATAGTAATAATAACAACAACAATATTAGTAATAATTTTAAATGCTGTCTTTGAAGGTTCCTTAGGCAATGAGTGCTGTTAATTGAAATTTAAAAAAAAATTTTTTTTTAAGATTTATTATTTATGATGTATACAGTGTTCTGCCTGCACACCAGAAGAGGGCACCAGATCTCATTACAGATGGTTGTCAGCCACCATGTAGTTGCTGGGAATTGAACTCAGGACCTTTGGAAGAGCAGCGAGTGCTCTTAACCTCTGAGCCATCTCTCCAGCCCAAACTGAAAAATTTTAAGTGCATATTTTAATGCTTTATGTAGATATTTCTTACAACTGTTTTCTGTAATTCAGCTCTGATGAACATACACCAGTAGAGGATGAAGAGCCAAAGAAAAGCACTACTTCAGCATCTAGTTCAGAAGGTAATTTTGTAAAATAAAGAATTTATTAAGTCATAAATTTGAAAAGTATGTTTATAAATAATTGGACGTTAGACCTGCTTTTACTCAGGATACCAAAGTTCTTTTCAGTATTTCAAATATAGTAATGTTCGGGAATACTTCTGTAGAAGTTAATTTTTTATTTGTACTTAACAACAGATGAGAAGAAGAAGAAAAGGAAATCTAGTCATTCAAAAGAAAGATCCAAGAAAAAGAGAAAGAAAAAGTCATCTAAAAGAAAACATAAGAAGTATTCTGAAGATAGTGACAGTGACTCTGAATCTGACACAGACTCCAGTGGTGAGAAAGCCATGTCATTCTGCAAACCCTAGAATGCGTTTTAACTGTTAAAAATGTTATGTGTGTGCGTGTTTTGTCTGCAAGCATGTCTGTGCACCGTGTGTATTCCCTCTGCCTGTGCAGGCCAGAAGAGGGCATCAGATCCCCTGGCACAGGAGTTACAGACAGTTGTGACCACCAGGTGGTTGCTGGGAATCAAATTCAGTCCTCTGAAAGAGCAGCCAGTGCTCTTAACTGCTGAGCCGTCTCTCCAGCCACTCAGCTTTTCTTTTCTGCAGTTACGGATGTGTCACTTGGTACAGCAGGCCCTCTGCCTCCAGAGCCTGTCACTCCCTGCATCCACCTGGGCTTACACAGTGCAGCAATGGACATGCGCTACTTTTATAATAAACTGATTTCAAAAAACAACTAGTTACCACTTCCAGGTCAACCATTCCTTAATTATCTTCCCAAATCAGTTATGTTTTTAATTACACTTTTATTCATTTATTTTGTGCATATGTGTATATGTATGTGGATGTGCACACCACAGTATATGTGTGGAAGTCAGAGAGTAACTTTGAGGAGTTGAAATTTCTCTTCTTCCACCATGTGGGTCCTGGGGAATTGAACTCAGGTCTTCAAGCCCAGCAATAAGCACCCTTACCAACTGAGTCGTCTTGCCAATGCCTGTCTGGCAGGTTTCAAGACTCCTCTGTATCCTCACGCACCCCATGCTTTTCTCTCTTAGTCCAGATTATGCTCATTCCATTACCATCTCCCCTCCATTCCACTGAGATTCTGGAAAGCATTCTTCTCCTCTGCCACATGCACACAGAGTTGTTTCTTTTTGGTTTTGTTTTTCTCACTGTGAAACTTTAACAATTCCCAGGAAAGTAAAGGGAACAATGTAATTATTATTATTATTAGCTTTTGTAAGCATTTTGACGTTTAAAATATGTGGGTGGGAGAAGTTGCTGAGCTATTCAGAGTAAGTTATCATTCCTTGACTAAATATTTCTATATGTACCTCTTTGAAATAGGATGTTTTCCTACTTAACCAATGCCATTAACTCAATGAATAAATTAATAGTGATTCCCGATATTACTAATACTTAGTGTGACTTTAGTTTTTTTACATTCATTTGTTTATTGTATGTGTGTGTGTGTATGAGTGTGTGTGCACTCATACATGCCACAGCCAGTGTGTAGAGATCAGAGGACAATTTATAGAAATCAGTTCTCTTCTTCTACCATGTGGTTCTGGGGCTCCAGTTCACGTCATCAGGTTTGACAGTAAGCATTTCACTCACTGAACCATCTTGCTGGTCCATGACTTTAATTTCTTCGATTCTTGCCCCTAGTATAATTCCTGGCAAGTTTCAGTAAATGTTAGAATGAATAAATTTCTCTGTAACAACAAATGAATATTTGCAACAATACAGTATTTATCTGTTAAAATATTGGGATTTTGAACTTCAAATTTTTTTTCAATAATAATGTGCTTTAATTTTCAGATGAAGATACAAAAAGAAGAGCAAAGAAAGCTAAGAAAAAGGAAAAGAAGAGGAAACGGAGAACGTCAGTTTTTCTTTACTTTTTTTTTAATGAAAAAACTTAAAATGTATAATGGTCCCCATATATATATATACCCAGTCTGACCAATTATGGGTAGTCTCTATCACCCTCCAGTTATTTTGGTACTAATGAAAGTTATCATTCCCTCCATAAATAATTCAGTAATTTAGTAGCTTTCTCTAAAAGGTATTCCTTAAAAAAATATAGTAACTTTTATTGTGCTTACAAATTTAACAGTTGCTGGGCAGTGGTGGTGCATGCCTTTAATCCCAGCACTCAGGAGGCAGAGGTAGGCTGATCTCTGTGAGTTTGAGGCCAGCCTGGGCTACAGAGCGAGTTCCAGGACAGCCAGGGCTACACAGAGAAACCCTGTCTTGAGAAACCAAAAAAGAAGTTAACTATCAATTCTCTGTAGTTTTTTTCCTACAGTTTATTCATATCAGAATGCTAATACTGTCCCTAAATTATAGTGGTTATTTGGAGTGATTTAGCATGTTTTTCTGTCTTCTCTATTTCCTGGAGAGTTGGGTGTGTCTCTTGAGTTTGGCAAGGTTCAAATTGGAACTTTGGCCAGGAATACTTCTAGGTGGTGCTGTGTACACTATCAGTAGGCAACTAATGTCTTGTCTCTTTTTGCCATATTAGCAAACACTGCTGGTCTTTGTCAAGATTCAGTATGTCATTGAGATTGAACAGTGGTAGTTTACTTTGAATGCTGCTATTTAAACATTTTTGCTATATTTTAACCCATTATACTGAAAATATTTATTAATGCTTACACTGGTGAGAACTTGTTTTTGTTTTGTGGGTTTTTTGCTTTTTTTGTTTTGTGGGATTTTTTTTGTATTTGGGCTTGTTCTATGTTTTTTTTAAAAAGATGCATCTGTGTCTGTGACATGTACATCTACAGGTACCTGGAGAGGCCAGAAAAGGGCATCAGATCCTCTGGAGCTGGACTTACAGGTGGTTATGAGCTACCTGATATGGGTGCTGGGATATGAACTATAGTTCTCTGGAAGAGCAGCAAGCACTGGTAACTGCTGAACCATTTCTTTAACCCCTGTATGTTTGTTTTTTGAGACAGGGTCATATATATCCCAGGCTGGCGTCAGGCTCACTAGATAGTATAGGATGGCTTTGAACTCCCGATTCTCCTGCCTCCAGCTCCCAAGTGCTAGGATTACATGTAGCTAGTCGTTTTCTGTCCTGCCAGCCAGCTCCCAAATCACAACACGGAGACTTCTTATTAATTGTGAAAGCTCAGCTGATAGCTTAGGCTTATTTCTAACTAGATCTTATAACTTAAATTAATCCAATTCTATTCATCTACATGTTGCTACATGACCTGTGGCTTTTACCTCTTGTCCTGTGTGTTTTGCTCCCTTTGCATCCAGCTGGCGACTCACCTTCTCAGTGTTTTCTCTGCCCTGAAAATCCTGCCTAGCTATTGGCCCTTTAGCTTTTTATTAAACCAATCCAAGTGACACTTCTTTACAGTGTACAAAAAGATTATTCCACATTTCCTCCTTTTTGTCTAAATAAAAAGGAAAGGTTTTAACTTTAACATAATAAAACTGTGCACAATAAGAACAATTATCAGGTAAGAATTAGTCCAGTCCATTTGTATTTGGCATATTTGGGGAAAATACTCCATTGTTTATTCTATCTTGATGAGTTCAAAGCTCTGTACCTAATTTACTTTCTATCATAACTAAGGAAAACTACAACTATAACTACCTGGCTACCAACTCCATCAAAGACCCCAGAAGGATATAATATTACCTAAGTAAACAGGAAGTGCAGTGTAAGCCACTTCCAAACATATAGAAATGACAGAGAAAGCTGTTTGCCTAGACAGTCACCCAAGGTTCCTCTGCAATGTTGGGGCATCCATCTTTGGCCTATGGCCTAGAATATCTGACAGACATTTTTATGAAGCAGGGATTTTGAAAGACTGTTGCACTAGGCTTGGCAAAGTTCAGCAGTCACTTTCCTGTGTGTCCTATAAATTGCCTGGCAGACTTTTCTATGAAGCAGGAAATTATTTTGGCAAAGTTTGACAGTCTTTTTCCTTTGTGTCCTGCTTGTCCAGTTTGTATAGCATACAGTCAAGACAAGAGCAGTTTCTCATCTAAATGGTTAGTTTTGCCACATTGAAAGCAAACTCCATATGGAGTTTCTTCAATGCCCATCATCTTTTCTGAAGTAAATTTTTGCTGCAGTAACACATGTATCTCATTGTCATGAAAAGCCCTATGTTAACAAAACATTTTAAATGCCATATTTTTTTATTAAATTTTTTATTTTTTAATTTATTTTAGATACCAACCACAGTTTCCCCTCCCTCCTCACCTCCCGTTTTCTCCCCCCACCTCCCTTCTATCCTCTCCCTAGTCACTCTTCCTCTGTCTCCATTCAGAAAGGGTAAGGTCTCCCATGGGAGTCAACAAAGCATGGGAGTCAACAAAGCATGGGAATCAACAAAGCATGGCACATCAAGTTGAGGCAGGACCAAGTCATATCCCCCACCCCCCAACTCCTGCTGCATCAAGGCTGAAGGCTGAGTGAGGTATCCCACCATAGGAAATAGGTTCCAAAAAGCTAGCTTATGTGCCAGGGATAGGTCCTAGTCTCACTGCCAGGAGCCCCACAAACAGACCAAGCCACACAACTGTCACCTACATGCAGAGGGTCTAGGTTGGTCCCATGCAGAAATGCCGTATTCTTTAGTCTTTGAAGTGTTTGAAGACCTTCTGTCTGTCTAAAATATATCTCTGTTTGACCTTGAAAATATACCTAACATGACTGCTTGCTATAGGTGACTACTAACCTATATTTATTATTCTAAATATTTTATAATAATAACTTTCAAGGACTAGAAATTTACATTACATTGTTAAATGAGCTGCATAGGTACAATACCTTAAACAAGAGTAGAAATGTATGTATAGTATGTTCTAATAAAAATAACCTTCAATTTGTATCAATATACAAAAATCCATACCAATGTAAAATATTTGAGACTAGTGGTTGATTGTTTTTTTTTTTTTAGTTTGAAAGTAGATATAGTAATCTATCCTTTTATCATATCATTTCTATATCCCCCTTTTTCCTTTTAAAAAGAGGTCTCTGAATCTAATCTTCTTTGTTTGGCTTTCTCTCTGACCATGATCAATAACAACTTGTAACCAACCCCCCCTAAACAATGACAAACATCCATAATCCACCTCATGGCCCAGAACCACCCACCCTCATCTCTTGGGATTGTGAGTGTTGTGTTTTCTAGACTGCTTTTTGCTAACATCTTTGGAGGGCCCTGAGAAAATTAGAGTAATGATCAAGTCCTGGCTAGAATTGTCTGTGAGGCTGGACCATCTCATCTAGCAGCCTTGAAGCTGTTCTGGATGCAGAACTCTGAGGAAATTACTACAGAGGTACTCTGAAAGGCTAGATCACCTGGGCCACTCATTTTCGTTGGTGTCTGTTCTTGCTCTGAAAACACATAAATATTCAAAGGTAACAGACATATCTACATTAACACAAGTATGGACTGTGTGTTGTATAGGTAAGATATACATTACCTGTCTTGCAGTTTTTCTAGGTTTATTTCTTTATATCTGTAGCCAGGATTTTCAGAGGATCTCCCCAGATTAAAGCTGATCCTCTTTAACCTTGAATGAATCCACAGCCTTTTGTTTTCTGTGGAAACATAAGCATAACCTCTTCTCCAACACAACGTATTTTTTGGCTTCCATTTTGAAGTTAAGACATTTAAAAAATATATATGATAGTTTAGTTTAACAGTTTCCATAATCCAGTGTTTCTCAGCAGCTATCATTTGTTCATCAGCAATCAGAAAATTAAAACAGCACAATAACATACAGGATCCAGACTTCCTGTATACTTCCCATCTCTATGTGGCTTCTTTTTTTATTACTTTTTCTTTAAAGACTTTATTATTCTTAAACTATTTATTTTTATGACTGTCTATACCCTTTTTATTAAGCCTACACACATTGTTAAACACAGTGTAACCTGTTTAGAGGTTTATTTTTCCATCTGAACCTGTTTTACTGCATATCTGTAACTTTTTGTGTCTGCATCAGTAAAATCTTAAACTGCTGCACAGCTTAGCTCATGGCGAGCTGGCAGCTCAAGCCTGTAGACTGCAGCCAGGAGATGTGTCTCTGTACTGCAGCCTGCATGATGAGAGTCTGCAGGACTAGGAAGCCATGTTTTTTGTGTGTTTGGAGCCTTTTTATTTTTTAAGCTTTCTCAGGTCTTATGTGGAAATATGTGCCTGGATGTTGGATGCCATTTGTAGCTAGTCTTGCTCTGTCCCACCAGCCAGCTCCCAAATCACAACACGGAGTTTAGGCTTGTTTCTGACTAGCTCTTATAACTTAAATTAACCCATTTCTATTCATCTGTGTGGTGCCACGTGGCTCATGGCTTTTACCTCGCATCCTGCATGTTTTGCTTCCTCTGTATCTTGCTGATGACTCTGCCTTCTTCATAACATTCTCTCTGCCCCCAAAATCCCACCTTGCTATTGGCCATTTAGCTTTTTATTGAACCAGTCTGAGTGACACTTCTTTACAGTATACTAAAAGATTGTTCCATAACAATTACAAACATAAGCTATCACCTCCTGCCTGAGAGTTAGGTTTTAAGCTATTTCATTTCTATTATCTTTCTACATGATAACTGTATTTCATTGATCTTTTAGTCATTTCTTGTTGATAGTAAAATACTACTTGGTTAACTGAGAAGATTGAATTGAAAAGTTTGAATAAGCTAGGAATTCAGATAATTTTCATTAACCTTTGAAAACTGAGGATGCCTGGGGCTGGAGAGATTGTTCAGTGGTTAAGAACACTGGCTGTTCTTACAGATGACCTGGGTTCAATTTCCAGCACCTATATGGCAGCTCATAACTATCTGTGACTCCAGTTCCAGGAGATCTGACACCCATACACAGACATGCATGTAGGCAAAACACCAATGCATATAAAATAAATCTTAAAAAAATTCTTTAAGGGGTTAGAGAGATGGCTCAGAGGTTAAGAGCATTGACTGCTCTTCAGAGGTCCTGAGTTCAATTCCTAGCAACTACATGGTGGCGCTCAACCATCTGTAATGAGATCTGGTGCCCTCTTCTGGCCTGCAGGGACACATGCAGGCAGAACACTGTATACATGATAAATACATCTTTACAAAATTTTCTTTAAAAGGAAAACTGAGAATGCCTTTTAACACTAGAATACTTAATTTGTATTAAATTATAATCCCTGTAGGAAGAAATACAAGAAAAAGAAGTCCAAGAAGAACAGAAAAGAGTCTAGTGATTCAAGCTCTAAAGAGTCCCAAGAAGAATTTCTAGAGAATCCTTGGAAGGATCGATCAAGTAGGTTCTCACAGCTGACTAACTCAAAACATGAAACATTAACTGATTAGTCAAGATGTGAATGTGTTTCTTAATATCTTTCATGCAGAGGCAGAAGAACCATCAGATCTCATTGGCCCAGAGGCTCCCAAAACACTTGCCTCCCAAGATGATAAGCCTTTGAAGTAAGTAGCAGTGTACAGTTGTGGGGTTTGGGCGGTTTTCTTTGTTGTAGGTCATTTGCTTTGTTTTCTGCAGTGCTGAGTATGCTCATGCTAGGTTAGCAGGCTGCCACTGCTGTGCCTTCAGCCAGTAGTAGTGTATTTGCAGTATTTAAAGTATTTTCTTAGCTTGGTATGGTGCTTATGCCTGTGATCCCAGCATTTGGGAGGATGAGGCAGGGAGATCGGGAATTCAAGGACATTCTAGGCTACATTGTGATCTCAAGGCCAGTCTGGGCTACATGAGACTCTGTTTCTACAAAATAAAAACAAGATCTTCAACTATCCTTCAAAGCCCCTTTCCAAAAGAAGGAGCATATGGTGAGTCCCAATGCTTCTCTGCAAGGAGCTGTGATTTCTAGCCCTCTTTAATCCTCATAGCACTTTCTGTTTCTTCTATGCAGTGTAATTTTTAAAGTTTGTATTAGTTTATCAATGTTGTATCGGGGAGGGAAAAAGGAGGGGGAGGCATTAGAGGACAACTTTTAGAACTTGGTTCTCTCCTTCTACCATATGGGTGCTAGGGATTAAACTCAGGTCAACAGACTTGACAGTAAATGTCTTTACCCTCTGAGCCTCCTTGGCAGCCCATGCAATCTATTATTTATGTTTGCCTTAATAGTGTAGTGTAGTTACCTTTATAATTGTATAAATTTTGTAAGCTTCAAGTTTAATAGGAATGCAAGAAACCATCACTGAACTGCTTTTAAAAACTTATAATAAAAGACAAAAGATAATTTTTACTGTATGGTATTATTGTTTGTTACAAGTTATTTTGAGATCTATTATATATTGGGTTTTTTTTTATAGAGAATGAGCTGAGGACAGAAGCAGTAATAGTAATACCTGATGAATTAACCCACAATTATAAAGTGTGAGTCTATACTTGTGAATGTTAGTTCTTTTGTTCTTCCAAATTATTTATACATTTCTAGGTTAGTAATATAGCTCATAGTACCATGTTCTCTAATAAAATGTAAGTAATTCACACCAGGCACAATACTGCTCAGCACTGTTGTTCTTACTGCTATCTGAGGGAAAATGATTTGTGCTCTCCTTTTCTGTGGCGATAACTACTGTGAATTCTGAATTACTTTGTAGTTATGGCCACGCTCTGTTACCTGGTGAAGGTGCAGCTATGGCTGAATATGTAAAAGCTGGAAAGCGAATCCCACGAAGAGGTGAAATTGGCTTGACAAGTGAAGAGATCGCATCATTTGAATGTTCGGGTTACGTAATGAGCGGTAGCAGGTACTTCCTTGACATTGAGTCCATTTCCATAATTGGCTCTCTTCCTTCTTTCTTCCTACTAGGATTGTATTTGGTGATCTGTTTTCATTAAGTGACTATTTCCTAGTGGAAATAGAGTATACATATACACACATGCGGACGGACACACACGGTACTGGTTTCATTAGAAGAAACATACTTAAAAAAGGTTTAACTGCGTATAAAACTTAGCCTCAAACTCTATAATATCTCCAAATTTAAAGAAGCAATCGTTTCCAGTTTCATTTCTTATTCATATTTTAGTATAATTTTCCCCCTGTAAAATAAAAAATGAGTTAAATTCAGCCATCTATCATAAAGGAATGTAGGCTTCCAGTAGTGAGGAAAGAATTGTCCCAAGGTAATCTTCCTCCAGTTCTCAGAGGACCAGAATTTCTGGAACAGAATATCAGTTACGAGTCATGAAAGATGTCAGATTCAGCATGAGGAAATAGGACTCTGGAAGAATCAGAAAATACCTGACTAATCGGGGAGAGGAAGGGCAGGAGTACTGAACTCACACTGCCTGTGGATTCTTTAAGATTACAAACTACTTATTAAAATAGTTAACTATTTTGAATTGATACCAGAGACCTCTGAAGCATCCCTCAGAATCTTAGATTTCTGAAAAGCAGCATTACTTTGGAGGATGACGGTATAAGGGCGAATCATTAGAGATGTAGCGATCAGTAAGGAGGTCAACATAGCCATTTTTGTGATTGAGATGATTGTTTACATACAAGGTCCCAAAGACTCTTCAGAGGGTTAACAAATGGTTGTATATAAAGTTATTACAGAACCAGTTGTTCTACAGACAACTAGAAAATATAATTTAACATATCATTAATATATATTAATATAATTAACAATGTATAATATATAAGGAATTATAATTAAACATTTATAGTTTAATATATTATATAGTATCAGAATATGAATGATTTAGAAATAAATCTTAACAAAAGAATCCCCAGACCCCCACAGGGAAAAACTATAAAATGTTAAGAACCATTAGGGGGATGGACACATTGCTCAGTGGTTAATAGCACTGGCTGCTCTTTCAGAGGACCCAGGTTCAATTCCCAGCACTCACGTGGCAGCTCACAACCAGCTGTAACTCCAGTCCCAGGGATCTGAAGTTCTCTTCTGGCCTCTGCAGGCACTACACATATGTGATGTACAGGTATACATTCAGGCAAAACACTCATACACATAAAATAAAAATTTAAAAAATTTAGCTGGGCGTGGTGGTACACATCTTTAATCCTAGCACCTCGGAAGCAAAGGCAGGCAGATCTCAGTGAGTTTGAGGCCAGTCTAGTCTACAGAGAGTTCTAGGACAGCCAGAGCTACACAGAGAAACCCTGTCTTGAAAAAAATCAATCAATCAATCAATCAATAAATGAAACATTAAAGAAGACATATCAAAGGAGACAGACCATGTTTAAAGATAGGCTAGCAATATTGTAAAGTCAGTTCTCTCAAATTTATCTATAGATTCAATAAAATTTCAAACTTAGTAAAGCTGTTTTAAAGTGTGTTTGTTAGACTAAAAGACTAAGAGTAGCCGTGTTAGTTCTGAAGAAGAGTAGGCAAATAAGATGTGACCTACGAGAGAGGAGAGTTAAGGCACTTAGGATTTAGGAAGCATAGTGAATAACCTAATTATTCAGTGGATAAAATGCAGAGTCCAAGGACAGTTATACATGTGTGGAATTTTGTGTATGAAAGAGATAGCATGTCAGATCTGTGTAGAAAGAAGTATTCAGGAAATGGGATAGGAAAAATGTCATCCGTACGTTAAAAGAAGAATGCAGAACAGTGAATCACCAGATATAAAAAGCAGTGCCACTAGATTACATACTTTCAGAGAGGGTGCCTTTTAGATAAAACTGTATTTTCTAATCAAAACAAAATGTGCTGCCCAGAAATTTGCCTAGGCTGAAAGTATGAACTTGTGTCCATTAAATGTGCAAATTCCAGGCTCAGATAAGATTCTTGGGATACACACAATTGATAAAGTATTGGTAATGAGAATATTGAAATGAACAACTATAAAAGAAATGACAGAAAGGGCCATTTATCAAAAGAATACATATGTCCTATACATAAACTAAATGATGTTCATTTTTATTGGAAATGGAAATCAAGACCTCAGTGAAATACTGTTTGTCTACATTTAATAGGAAAAGGTTCAAAGTTCTGACAGTGCCAGATATTGAAAGGATATGGTGCCACAAGAGCTCCTAAACAATGCTAGTAGTATATCCATTAACAGTGTGACATTGTGGAAAGTTGGACTCTCATGTGCAGTATAACCAAGCAGCACTACACTGGGGTGCCCAAGAGAAAATCTTTCCCACAGACTAGAGACAGGCATGTGGGCGTTCATTATAGCATCATTCTGTATTGCTTTCTGCCCCATGTAACTGCACAGGACACTCACTATACTCTAAGCAACCTAAGTATATTGCCATTTCCTCGACTCTCCCATCTTATCCCTAGATACCGTCACACTAACCTGAAATGATTCTCTCCTCTTCTTACCCAGTCTTTCCTGGTTTTTCTAGAGATAAGTCTCTTCAACTAATTATGTAGGGTTTGGGTACATATGCACAAAAGAGGTCATTCATTTTTCTCTCTGAATAACAGACCTTTTGAATCCAACATCATAGTTTTCCTCAGTTTCTATATATTACTCATCTAACTTTTAGACTGAATCCCCCTTTTCTTTGTGAAACTTCTGGATTCTAAGGAAATTAAACTAGCCACAGAATTCCTCTTCAATTATAGATTTAGACTTGATTCTCTTCTTTGTATTAGTAAAGTTGAACATTGATGTACCACTTGATTAATTAAGATAAATCTTTCATTTGCCCTGCTATGGACTCCACAAAGACAAAAACCACTATTACTGGCTGGGCATGGTGGCACATGCCTTAAATTGCACCACTTGGGAGGCAGAGGCAGGTGGATCTGTGGGAGTTTGAGGTCAGCCATGTTAGCCAGAGTTATTTCATGAAACTCTTTCAAAAACAAACAACCCCCACCCCCAAAATACACATCACCTAAAATATTTAATAAGTTTTCCATTTCAGTTTATTAGAAATAAGGAAAACAGAATTATGTCTTTAGTATGTGAAATGAATGATAATATCTACTATGTTGACAAACATTGGAGATCATGAATACTAGCAATAGGTTAAAGGAAAAGGGGCATCACTAGATAAAATGTAGAGTCATTTGATGACCCATCTCCAGGTTCTGTTGTCACCTTTTAAGTAGATTCTATATTAAGAAAGGATTCATGAGGATATGCTGTAGGAATTATTAGTAAGAAATTAAGTCGAAGATAAAATTGTCTTCAGGCATCGCCGAATGGAGGCTGTGCGGCTGCGGAAAGAGAACCAGATCTACAGTGCGGATGAGAAGAGAGCCCTTGCATCCTTTAACCAGGAAGAAAGACGGAAGAGGGAGAACAAGATTCTGGCCAGCTTTCGAGAGATGGTGTACAGAAAGACCAAAGGGAAGGACGACAAGTGACGACTTGCTGGCTTTACAAGTGGGCAGTTTTAACAAGGGAATTGTGGGTTCTAGACATAAAAGAAGGTTATTGTTTTGTTTGTGTTTGGGGTTATTTTTTGATGTATGGTTTCAAGTAGTCCAGGTTGGCCTCAAGCTTTGTAGCCAAGGATACTCTGAACTCTTGGGTGTCCTGCCTCCATCTTCCAAGTGTTGAGACTCCAGATGGGTGCCACCATGCCCAGCCAAAAAGGCTGTTGTGCTCTGAAGTGGCTTTTCAGTGCTTCTGTGCCTTCGGAATCCTTCAGTCCTTCAGTAACAGATGCTTGTTGATATAATTAGTAAGTTACTTGGGGCTTTTTAAGATTGACCCTAACTTTCTGGTTTGAAAGTCCAAATTCTGAAGGAAATCCTGCAATGTTAGGAAGGCGGCATAGCGAGAAAGTGTCAACAGAATAAGAAACTTCAATCGCACTCTGTGATTTGGTGTGAATATTTTTAGCTCCATTCAGTGTCTGCCCCTACCCCAGCCGAACTTGGGAATTTCATATCTCTGTCTTGAATGTGTTACAAATGGGCTAGACAGAAACTATGTAGGAGGCTATTTCTGTTAACAAAATGATGGTGTTGCTGTAAAAGGCAATGCTGGAATTTGAAAACTGACTTGTTTCTATAGTCAGCCCTAGAAATGTATTTTGGGCTAAGTCTACCTCCGCTCTAAAAACAAGCAAACCAAAAGTCTAACTCACATATGTGTGGAATAGAAAATGTGAACATTAGATGTTGTAAGTTCTTAATAAATTACTTAAAACAGTTCTTTCCATGGCCAGGGTATAGCTCAGCATTAGAACATGTGCTTAGCATGCGTGCGGCCCTGAGCTGCATCCCCAACAGTGCAAAAAAAATTTTTTTCAAATACAGTCTTGGGAAGTCTGTTGTCGTGCCAATGTAAGAGGACTATTTCTATCTAAACTGATATTTAATGATAGGATAATATGTAAAAGAATGAGTGTCAGGAGTGCTAATGAGGGAAAATATAAGTCAGTATTTTAATTAGCTGTTTCATGATGATGAAAGTAAAATAGTAAACGTTTTCAATTGTGTCCTTTATGTAGTTGGATTTCTTTTTTGAGACAGAGTCTCACTATGTAGCCCTGGATGGCCTGGGACTCCTAGAGTTCTGACTGCCTCTGCCTTCCTGGTGCTAGGATTAGAGGTGTGTGCCACTGCACCTGGCTATCAGATTTGATTTTAAACATTGTTAAGCTCTTCAGCTTTTTTATATCTATCAATGTCTTTAATCCTTAACTTTGTAGAAACGCTCCTCACTTTATCACTGTTTGATAAGTTTAATATATGTTCTGGGGAAATGTGTTTTTTAACCCACAACTGCTGAACTGATCAGCAGTTAGCATGTAGTAACATCTGTGATCTTTGGACTTGAAACTGTTTCACTGTATCTATACTTCTCAGTCTAGTAAGTCTGTAGTTTCCTAAAGTTTAATGGAAGCTAGGTTCCAAAGTTGGAAGTCTTATTAATCCATACACTTCCTCCTGTAATACAATGTAAAGTTTATAATCCCTACTTTAAAATTTATTCTGTAGGGGCATTATTTTTTGTTAACTGGCTCCTAGCAACTGGATGAATATGTTTTTATTTTTCATAGGCAATGTAGTTTAAATGTGACAAGTTTGTGGCGTATAAGTATTATGGGTTTTATTTTGATTCTTCTTCTCCATAGAGTAGATATACTCAATGAAAGAAAAGGTAGGAATTTATTTCAAAACCTACCATTCCTTGCATCGGAGGTCATTTGAATAAGATCTGCAAAGAATAGTGTCAACGACAGATCCTTAAAAAAAGTAGAAGGCTAAAAGTATTTTATTTTCAGCTGATTTGTGTTATTGCTTCAAACTGTGTTTTGTCACCGGAGCTCTAATTCAGCCATTGTTTCCCAAAGCAAATCTTCCTGGTTTACAAAACACACACACACACACACACGCACACATTTCTAATCAAACAAAACATTGAGCTAGGAAATTTCTTCTTTGTTACATTCCCAATGAACAAGATAGTGGCTAGAGTTCTGTCTGTATTCTTCCTAGTTCTGTCTGTATTCTTCCTAGTTCTGTCTGTATTCTTCCTAGTTCTGTCTGTATTCTTCCTAGTTCTGTCTGTATTCTTCCTAGTTCTGTCTGTATTCTTCCTAGTTCTGTCTGTATTCTTCCTAGCTCTGTCTGTATTCTTCCTAGTTCTGTCTGTATTCTTCCTAGTTCTGTCTGTATTCTTCCTAGCTCTGTCTGTATTCTTCCTAGCTCTGTCTGTATTCTTCCTAGCTCTGTCTGTATTCTTCCTAGTTCTGTCTGTATTCTTCCTAGTTCTGTCTGTATTCTTCCTAGCTCTGTCTGTATTCTTCCTAGTTCTGTCTGTATTCTTCCTAGTTCTGTCTGTATTCTTCCTAGCTCTGTCTGTATTCTTCCTAGTTCTGTCTGTATTCTTCCTAGTTCTGTCTGTATTCTTCCTAGTTCTGTCTGTATTCTTCCTAGTTCTGTCTGTATTCTTCCTAGCTCTGTCTGTATTCTTCCTAGTTCTGTCTGTATTCTTCCTAGTTCTGTCTGTATTCTTCCTAGTTCTGTCTGTATTCTTCCTAGCTCTGTCTGTATTCTTCCTAGTTCTGTCTGTATTCTTCCTAGCTCTGTCTGTATTCTTCCTAGTTCTGTCTGTATTCTTCCTAGTTCTGTCTGTATTCTTCCTAGTTCTGTCTGTATTCTTCCTAGTTCTGTCTGTATTCTTCCTAGTTCTGTCTGTATTCTTCCTAGTTCTGTCTGTATTCTTCCTAGCTCTGTCTGTATTCTTCCTAGCTCTGTCTGTATTCTTCCTAGTTCTGTCTGTATTCTTCCTAGCTCTGTCTGTATTCTTCCTAGTTCTGTCTGTATTCTTCCTAGCTCTGTCTGTATTCTTCCTAGTTCTGTCTGTATTCTTCCTAGTTCTTTAGGCCCATGTAAAATCTGTGTAGAACTATTGTAATTGAAATACTTATTTTGTTCTCTAAAGAGACAAGCTAGTTTCTCACCTCTTCACCAGTTGTTCATGGGATTTTCTCTCCTTTTTTGAATTTGTTGTACAAAGATAATAGTAAAAAATAGAAAAGTTGCTCAGTCCTACCACATGTATTGTTACAAGTATTCTGTGTTCCTTGTATGTCTTTGTCACTCAAAGTGTAGAGTAATTTTGTCTTGAGTATTTTAAAATTGTGTGACCAGGCTTAGGAGTCTTATTGGGAAAGTAGGAATACATGATGATTCACTGTGAAGGTAGAAACAAGACCAGAAATAAATATGGGTGGTAACCCGTCTCTGTTTCATTGTAATAATAAACATGATGAAGTGTTCTAGAAGCCAAAACATTCCCTTTCAGAGTTTGGCATTGAGGCTTACCTTATAGTAGAAGAGGTCTGTGAGTAGGAGAACCTTTCAGACTGCTTAGGATGAGCTACAGAATTGTTGCCATTTTGTTACCCAGCATACCCATAAAAATGTGTATCAAGCCTGGAGGTAGGCACAGAGAAGGACCAAACAGCTAAGGGCCAATGGGTGAACTTTAGCAATGTTTGAAATTCAACTCTGTACTTGCCAGACTCCAAAATCATGATGTAGTGTTGAGAAAAATCTTTTCAAAAACAACAACAACAAAACTTACTACAGAATGGATAATGAATAAAAGCAAAAACGCAGTTGGGTTGTGTACTACAAGTTTATTATTCAATAAATATTATGTGGTTTGATGTGCTGTTTCATATTTTTAATGTATTGATTGTTAAAGGAGTCCTCAAATGTGACACAAGAATCAGACAACTTTAAAAGGGATCGACTCCAACAAAATTTGTTTGGTTTCAGTGATGTCCCTCAGCCATTGTTCTCGGAATCGAATACTTCCTGGTCTGTAGAGGAAGGGAAAAACACACACACACATGCCCACACAAAGTTTTTATAATCAAGCAAAACGTTGAGGCAGAAATTCCCTCCTTACATTCCCAGTGAGCAAGATTCTGGCAGGGTTCTAGCTCCATTCCTTACCGTCCTTTAAACCTATATAAAAAGGCTTTTAGAGAGCTGTAATGCAGTAACATGGGTTGTTACATGTGAGCGAATTCAGTGTGAGTTTCCTGTGGATCTTTATTGGAAGGGGGTCCTGAAACATGATTTCATTCTATAGTCCAGACAAGTCCGAAATTTACAACAATTCTCCTGCCTCAACCTCCCAAGTGCTGGGGTTATAGACATGAATTACAATGCCTAAAAGGGATTATTAATCATAGTAAACTCAGTATAATTCTGAAGTTTTTCTGAAGAGGGCTAGGGCTGTAGCTCAGTAGTAGAGTATACCTGCCTAGTGTGTGCAAGGCCCTGGGCTTGATACCCAGCAACACACACACACACACACACACACACACACTCAAGCTTTAAAGTTTCTGGAGAAATAACAGACATGACACACTTTGCCCTACTTTGTTCTATCAACTAATCCTTAAGTTTCTAATTACAGGAAAACAATTTTCTAGACTAATGCTAGACTCCTACTTTTAGCCCATACTGTAGGGTAAGTGGTCAAAGGTGAGGTGAGCCCTACATGAATTGTCTGTGGCCGTGGGCCTGCTGGATTCCTAGAATGTGACAACCTTTGTCTCCAAATTTTAATTACCTTTGAAGTAGTCCTGAATTCTCAAAGACATAAGAGACTTCAACAGGCATATCCTAAGAGAGAAGGACAAATGTTAAGCCTGGAGCAGCACACCAATGCTTAATTCTCCCACTCTTCCCTTATCCATAAGTATATATTTGCATTTTCAGGACCCATCTTCTTTATTAACTGGGAGTCCATTAATTGGTTCTGTGTCACTTCAATCTGATTCTGTCAAAGATGTGTTTGGTCACAGATACCTTAAGCTACACCACAGGATTGGAGACAATTGCTAGAGGCGTGTGTTTCTCAGTAGAGCATGATTCGTTCGGTCTTTTGCCCTATTACTTTTGTTGGCAGGGGGAGGGGTTGTGCTTGTTGAGTGTTTTTATATCAAGGTTTAGTTTTGTTGTCTTCTTTCCGTACTCCAGTTTAGTCAGCCATGCCTCTCACCTCTTAGGAATGGAACCAGAAGGAAATAACAGATGAACAAGGTTGGGCAATTTTCATTGAAGCAGGGGTTTTGCTATGCTACCAGTACTGGTGGTACATACCTGCTGAGGCAGGAGGATCAATAGCTACAATAGTAAGACCCTGACTAAAAAGGAAAGGAAGCCAGGCATGATGGCACCTGTCTATAATCTCAGTACTCTGGAGGTAGAGGTAGAAGGATTGTCACAAGTTTGAGGCCAGCCTGGTCTACCAAGTGAGTTCAGTGTCAGCCAGGGCTACATAGCAAGACCCTGTCTCAAAAAGTGGGGAGGGTTTGGGGATGTAGCTCAGTTGGTAGAATACTTCTCTAGCATGTATTAAACCAGTGTCACATAAATTGAGCATAGTGACACATGCCTGTCATCCTAGCACTTGGGATGTAGAGGCAGGAGGATCAGAATTTTTGGGGGGAGGGGCGGGGGGGGGGAGAATCTTGCAGCCTGATGGACTAGCAGCCAGAGTGCTTTTTTATTTATACAAAATTTAGTAAGTAGGGATGCATTCATGTTCCAAAACATAGATCATACCATTTTTGTGTTTGGACATGTGTTTCACTTTTTCTTGTTCCTTTTTTAGTCATCATTGGTAAATTATGATAGAACAGAGTTATCTTTTCCAATCATTTTCCCTCAAGTTTTGACATCATTGATGAACAGAGTTATCATTTTTAATCATTAACCCATAACCCAATTTTTATGAATCTAGAGGTATATGACAGCCTGTGCTCAGGCCGGTAGCTTCGGTTGCTTCAAGGATGCTAGACCAAAACAAAATTTTCAAGCCAGCCCACACATATTGCCATGTCCGAAGCAGTGGATTATTAACTCTTCAAGGTCAGAGTGCCCAGGAAAAATCCTCAGGCCAAAGCTGCTGCACTTATTATTCAAATTCTGACGTGGTAACTTAAGCTAATCTAACTTTGTTGCTGTATATGCCACATAATTGTCGGAGTGTACAGCGGGAAGAGGCTTGCAGTCTGAACTGTGGCCAACTCCTCTAGCCCACCGAATCTTGTTGACCTTTTTGAGTGTACCTTTTTGATTATCTTGTTCCTCAGTAAGTAGGGGACAGATATTTCAAGAATGTCTCACAGCCTCATAAAGAGACCTCTGTTTTCTCTATGTGTGTCACAACCTCCAGGGCGTGAGGAAGACCTTCAAGTAGATAAGGATATCTCCCTAAAAGTGGGAGGGGTAGTGTGTTCAGGACTTTCCTTGGGGTCTTAGAAGCAATACTCCTGGAAGAATGCATAAATGATTCATAAGAAATTTTCCATCAGCCGGGCGGTGGTGGCGCACGCCTTTAATCCCAGCACTCGGGAGGCAGAGCCAGGCGGATCTCTGTGAGCTCGAGGCCAGCCCCCCTGGGCTACAGAGTGAGTGAGGATCAGAATTTCAAGACCATCCTCAACTGCATTTCGAGTTGGACTATATGAAACCCTGACACATAAAAAAGGAAAAAAGACAGGAAGGAAGAAAAGAAGGGGAAGGGGAAAGCAGTAGAGAGAAGAGGGAACAGGCAATGCACGTTTCTGGTTTACTGGAGGAATAGCAAGATCAGAGTGGCAGAAGCAGAATAAAGAGGAAAGGCTAATAAAGCAGAAATAGCATATATATGCATATATATATATATATGCATATATATATATGCATATATATATGTATACACATAAAGACATACATATATGCTAATAGATATTAGATATAGCTCATAGGCCATTGTTACTCAGACATAAGCCTCTAGGTGTGCGCTGTTAGAATTACCTAGGAGTTTGTTAAGAATGCATTATCTCAGCTGGGTGGTGGTAGCCCACGTCCTTAATCCCAGCACTCACGAGGCAGCCAGAGGCCTGTGGATCTCTGGAGGCCAAACTGAGCCAGAGCCACACAGAGAAACCCTGTCTCCAAAAACCAAAACCAAAACCAAAAAAACCCCAAAAAATGTATCATCTCTAGACCTACCCAGACCTGCTAAATCAGAATCTTCATTTAACAAGATTTTCGAGTAATTTCCATGCACTTTGAAGTTCCAGAACTACTTGGGGGACATTTTATACAAAGGACTGGTGGCTGGAGAGGTGGTTCAACAGTTAAAGAGTGCTCCTTCAGAGGACCCATGGTAGGCAGCTTACAAACTGCCTGAAACTCCAGATCCAGGGTATCTGAAGCCCTTTTTTGGCCTCTGTATGTTAGCTGCACTCATATGCACATGTGTACACACACACACACACACACACACACACACACACACACACACACACACACACACATAATAGAAATAAATCTTTAAACACAGGACTGACAGAAATTTACTTTAAAGGGCTCAGTCTAGCTGGCTACTACATGTGGGCAAGGACGGAAGGAGAGAGACCAGTTAAGCTATTGAAATAATCCTGAGGGGGGGGTGGAGAGAGAGAGAGAGAGGGGGGGGGGCAGTGGGGAAGGATGTGGGATTCTGTACGTATTTTCTTAATGGTTTAAGGGAAAGAGAAGAGTCAAGGAAGAGGCATCAACTCAGATGCAAAGACTTGAAGTGGGTTAGATGTGGGATGGGAAATCAAGCATTCAGTTCTAGGGCTGGGGACGCAGCTCAGTGGTCAAGCACTTGCTTAGCATTCCAAGGTCCTAGGTTCAACCTCCAGAACCACAGCAACAAAGTCAGTTTTAAAAACAGTAAGTGAGATGTTCATTAACTCTCAAAATATGCTAGAGATTTGGAAATCATAAGGTCTAAGTGACATTCATTTTTCTTATTTTTGAGGTGAAGGAATCATACTATGTCACCAAAGCTGGGTATAAACACTTTTTAAAAAAAGTTCTTTTCTAGGTATAAACATTTTTAAGTTTCTTTCCTTTTTATTTTATTATTTATGTGTATGTGGATATGATAAGATAAAAAGATTATTGAATCTATTTTTAAAAAGGAACTGCTTGTTTTAAATAGGATAAATAATGAAAATTTTTATCTGAATTTGTCAAATGATAATGGACTGGACATTGTTAATGTATATAATGGAGTTTTTTGTCTGAATCTGTCAAATGTTAATGGACTAGACATTGTTAATGTAATTCTTGACTGTATATACTGTATATGCTTTTTCTTATATTATAACTGTATTTTAGACAAAAAAGGGGAAATGTGGTTGGTATATTGTGTATCCTAATAAACTTATCTGAGGGTCAGAGAATAGAACAGCTACTAGATAGACATAGAGGACAAAAAATGATGGCACACACACCTTTAATCCTATCACTTGGAACAGCCAGGTGTGGTGGCACACACCTTTAACTCCAGCACTTGAGATCTCATATCTTGCTTGGGAAAGACACACACCTTTAATCCCAGGAAGTGATGGCAGGAAGCAAAAAGGTTTATAAGGCGTGAGGACCAGGAACTAGAGGCTTTTAGGCTTTTAAGCTTTGAGCAGCAGTTCAGGTGAGATCCATTCTGATGAGGACTCAGAGGCTTCCAGTTTGAGGAAACAGGATTGGCTGAGAAGTTGGCAAGTTGAGGTGAACTGTGGCTTGTTCGGATGCTCTGATCTTTCAGCATTCACCCCAGTATCTGGCTCCCGGGTTTGTTTTTATTAATAAGACCTTCTAAAGATTTGTG